GTTCCCCCCCCCACACCGACACACCGGTAACCCCACGCACACCCTGGCAGGCTCGCGCCATCCCAGGGTTTGGCTTCCCAAAGCTTTTCAGGCCCAGCTCACTGTAAGCCGTGAGACCTCGGGGCACGCAAGGGGCTCGTGGACGCGTCTGCGGTAGGATTTCCAGAGGGGGAGATGACACTGTCGAGGTTCAAACCTCCACGAGCTTTCCAGGGGACCAGCACACCCCGTTCTGGTCATGGCACGACCGAAGCGGAGCGGATAGGCTCAGCCCGGCGGGCCAGGGCAGCACTTCTCCGAGGGCGAGGGCTGCTGCCCACCACGCCCACGCCAAACAGAGACGGGCCGCGACACGGGTTGGGTCACACAGCTGGCAACAGCCACCGTCGGTGGGAGGAACGGGGCACGGACCTCCCAATTCCAGCTGGAGCTCGGCTGGTTTGCTGGCGAGATGACGTGGTTTCTGCTCCGCAAGCACCACAGCTCCATGACCCTCCCGGTCCCGTCCCCCCCCCCCAAATCCCTGCGGGTCCCACCTTCCCCCTGCGTGAGGCCGAAGGCTCCTACTCACTTCCCGGCAGCTTCAGGTTGTCCACGACCGGCAGATACACCTCTCTGTCCTGCTTCTCCTCCTCCGGCGTCCGCTCCACCGTCAGCTGGTAAAGCTTCAGCGAAATGATGTCGTGGTTGTCTGGAAGCAGAGCAGAAAACGTGTCCCGAGGCGTCGCCGACAAATACGGTTCCGTGTCGGGGATTCGAGTGCCACAGGCAGCACCGCGGCCGCTTGGGGCAAAGGCGCCGGCTCTCCCCTCCCAAGGAGGGGGCGGGGGGGTGGGGGGGGCAAGACTCACCTCCGCAGGGCAGGGTCTACGCCGGGCCAAGAGCTGCGCCCCGGCGCAGGGCCCGCTGCCAACAGGACCCTTTAAACTACTTAAACTGAAAAACCAACAGCCCAGACCGGGAGATCATCTGACTCGAAACCGCTCAGCCACCCGAAGGGAACGCGTTAGCATCGGCCTCGCGTGGCCCTGCTTCCTTCGCTTGTGACGGCGGAGCTATTAGTGGGACAAGGCGAGCGCTCCACGCCAGCCTGCCAGCTCCCCGGGCGCTGGGCAGAGATCTGAGAGAGAAAAGGAACTTTTGTTGGAGCCAACAACGGGCCCAGAAACCGGCCATCAATGCGCTTTTGTAGAGGCGTAACTCAAATCGGGCTTAAAACCTGCCGGAAGGGGCACGGCGGGGTAACGTCAGGCCTCACGGCACCTCGACCAGCGCCGGGAGAGAAATATTACGCTGAGGAAGGCGGGGGGGCTTTAGCTCTCTGCAAAACCCAATTTACATCGGCCCACGTTGCACCACCGTTTCCAGGTGCGCCTGGCTGGTCCCTCCCTCAATAACGGGCGGGCGATAGGTCTCAGGATGTGAAATCCAAAGCGAAATACACCCAGGCACGTCCCAGAGACGGGGTCAGAGAGCAGGAGGAAGCATCGCGGCTTGGCTGTGACGCCTGGGGCGTTTGCGGCGACGGCAGTTCTTTCCGGCACTGCCCTCGGGGCTAACCCAGGCACCACGGGTTGAGGCAGGAGAGTACAGGAGGAGATTTTTTTTCCCCCCCCTCAGTGCTCATCCTGTTTTTACTCCTCCCAAGGCGCGTGTTTTGGAGACAGACCCTCCGGCTGAGCCGGTAGAGCCGCTTCGCTGCCGTGTCGTTAAGAGAGGCTGCCCGAGGTCAGGCCGTGGCCCTGAGCTCAAGGAAAAGCGGGAAGCGCTGCCCAGACAAAGCACTCGGGGGAGCAACGTGCCCAGACGGGGCTTTTGGCCCCCGGGGGTTCCCTCAAAAATTAAAAAAAAAAAAAACAACCCCCCAAGGCTCCCGCTCGCAGCTCAAGGGTGTTTAAAGCATGGAAAGGTCCTCACGTGCTTCTGTTAAGCCCCACCAGGTACCGAGCTGCACCTCCAGACACCCAAAGCTGCGCAGGAGCTGCCAGAGCTGCTTGGGAGACAAGGCTGGGGACCCCGGGGCAGTACCTGACAGGTCTCCGGTGACAGAAGAGGTCCCGAAGTAGTACCCGCGGGGCAAGCGCACGCCCGGCACGTCGATGCAGTCTCGCCACTCGTGCTTACCGTCGATATCAATCAACACCTGGGAAAGAAGCGGGTCCCTTAGCCCCGCCGTGGCCCCGCTGCCCGCTCTGCCCCGGCAGGCAGCACTCACCGTCAGTCTCCTCTTCACGTAGCGGATCACCAGGAAGGTGTCGTGGTTGAGGTTGCGCACCATGGCCGTGCAGCCCCCCAGTTCCGTCGGTCTCCCGTCCCGGTCGTGGTCGTAGGTGAGGGAGCCGTTGTTTACCATGGCCGAGATGTAGGGGAAGACACGCTGTCGAGGGGAGCAAGGCTGGGGGTGAGTTTCTGTTCTCGCTCTGCCGGCCGCCCCCGCATCCCGGCACACCTCCGGGGTCAAGAGCCACGACGGCCCTACGGACCCCAAACTCCTTCACACACACACACGCCCCCCCAAGAATCCGTCTCAACAAGACAACGGCACGATCCCACTTCATTCCCCCAGCCTTCCTCGGGCTCAACCTCAGCTCCCAGATGTCCGGGATGGAGGACAGCCGGTTTCCATGCAGCCTCCCGGTTCACACAGGGATTTCTGGAGCTTGGAGGAAGGAATTCCTCGACCGTGAGCCAAGGTGAAACCCGACAGCTTGGGAACAGGTAGGTCAGCAAGAGCAAGTACCTGATTTCCCGGGCTGTACCTCCTCTTCTGAGCCTGCCAGTCCAGGGTTATCGCAAAGCAAGAAAGAGCACAGAAGCAAGACGGTCACAGACCAGAGTTTAGTATTAACCTGCAACCTGGAAACTTCCTCCCTGGAGAGCTCAGCGCGTTATCGGCTTAGCGGGGACTAAAGCAGAGCGGGGTTTAGGTGTTAGGTGCCGAATCCCAGGACACACGGCCAGGGAACGGTGCCGGCGGGCAAAAGCCACGTCAAGTGTTGCCACGTACGGCGTTTCCCCCTCCTTGTCGCGCAGCAGCTCGCTCACACAATAAGCCAGAGCCCAACGGGGGGGACACGTGGGCCGCGACCGCTCCCCAGGGACCCTCAACTAACCTGTCCCTCTTCCCTCGAGAATAAGACACTTCTTTTTGTTCTTTTAAAGGCGAGGGAAAGCAGCCGTGAACCCCCACGCCATTACAGCAACTGGCCGATCAGCATTTCTCCATCTCTTCCCTTCCTTGGCGCTCGACCGGAGGAGGGCGTGCGTTCGCGCTGGCCCGGAGGAGGGCAGCCCCCTCCGGCTGCAGACCGGGCTGGGAAGCCGGACGCCCACGTTCCACCGATTATTTCTTTTAAATAAGACCCGCTGCGCATCCCTTCACCCCACAAAAGCGGAGCTGCCGCCACCCCGCCAATCAACAGGATCCATCCAACACTGCGTTAATCCCCGAGCGCTGCCGGTGACGCGGCGCCAGGCGGCTCGGAAAGGTTTTTAGGAGCACAAAGTCCACCCCTGCGCCAGAGCGGCTCGCTCGGAAAGGTTTTTATGAAAAGTCCACCCCTGCGCCAGAGCCGGCTGCTTTGGGCGTTTGAACAAAAGCCAGTAGTTACTCAACGTTCGTTTGGCAGCTCCGAGGTCAGGGCACGTCCCAACTTTTGTCTCTCTCCCCGGGATGAAGGGGGTCCTGCGGGGCGGTGGGCTTCGCCCCGAGGTCTTGGGGTAAAAGAGCGCCTTTTTTTTTTAGGGGAAGCTAGAATTAAGAAAGGGTCCAGCTTTGGTTTTGGAGTGATGAAACCGATTCCAGCACCAGGGTGGGAAGGGCCCGGTTTTAACTGCCTCCGCGCTCCCTTCTCCACGGGAACGGATGCCAATAAACCCCAACCAACCAACCGACGCATCAGGAACGCAAAGGTCTTCAGACGGGCACCTTTCAAAGAGGCAGGGCGCAGTCACGCTGCATCCCTGAGAGCAGGGAAAGCCTCCTGCCGACTAGCTGCCGTGAAACAGCCCCGTCGCGCGGGCAGGCCTGGGCTGGCAGCGCCGGTACCGCTCTACTCAAGGTCTACAAAGACCACGCTCTTGGTACAGCTTCACCTCAAGCGCTACTTGCTGGCAGCCTCCAGAAAGCACAGGAGCTCGCAACGCAGAGGTGGTGTCGTCAGCTAGTTTTCTCCTGCCCTGAAAGCTTTTTCTCCGGGTAAAGCCGACCACAAAACCACCCCGCAGCTTTTCACGTCTCTGAAGAGTTATTGCCTCACTAGGAAGAAAAGCCAGCTACGCAGAGCGCGGCGGGGAAAGGCAGTGGAGAGGGAGCAGAGCAATACCCGGCCTCCGATTTAAGAGCTCAAAAAAAAAGAGAGATCGCACCGCGCCGACGAAGAGCTGCGCTCGCGGCGTGGCGAGCCGTAACCTCGGCGCTGCCCGTGCCACGCTCCGCGGGCAGCTGGCAAGCAGCACAGTCCCGTCTACCCTGCCTAGCTCACCTCCTGCTGCTTCTCCTCGTTTGGGTAGGTGTCCACGAACACTCCCAGGCCCAGGAAGTTATCCTTACTTCCAAAGACAGGTCCTAGAAGGGAGGAGAGGCTCTGAATAAGGGCGGCAAGGCCAGGCAGGCGTCGCAAAGGGTTGGTCACCCATCCCCTTCGTGTTGTTCTCTGTATCAGGTAACGAGGCAGGCGCTCTCCAGACTACGCAGGGGCAGGTTTACCCTCAAGTCACATAACTGCATCAAAACCCACACGCAGGTCGAGCCTGGGAGGACGTACGGGGTGAGGGCACGCGAAAGCGGGGAGACCCCGGTCGGACACTGCGATGGGGGAGTCAGCGGGGAGGGAGCTTTTGCCCCCAGCTTCCACCTGCTTCTGTAGGACGGAGCTGCGTCACCTCTTCAAAGGCCGGAGACAGAGGTGAGCGCTAGAGAGCTCCACGCAGTTAATCAAGCGGTTAATCGAGCACGCAAGACCCTCCGGGCAGGGAAGTCGGAAGGCAAGATCAAATCCCCTGCCCTCTGCCGGTCAAGGATCGAGCTTCCTCCGCGGTCTGTTTTTTTTAAGGAGCGGGAAGCCCCAAGCTTCCCGTTACACCGCCCATCTCAAGATCAAGGCAAAACAATCCCAAAGCCGCCTACCCCCGAGCTGACCCCAGCCTCCCGGGACCCCCGTAAACCCCCAACCCAGGGTGCCGAGGCTCAGAGGCAGCCTCACGCACGCTCTTTACTCCCTCTTTGCCTGCCAGGGCGAAAGAAAAACAGCCCCAGGGCCCCGAAACACGGCAGTTCCCCAGGGGACGCTGCAATTCCCCACTGCGATTTCCCCAAGCGAGCCTGCAGCTCAGGGAGAAGGCGTCCTCAAGAAGGTGGCGCGCGCGGCCCGACCCCTTCCCCTCGAGGCACGGCCTCCACCTCGGCAGCTACCGCCGGCGCTTTACCTGGCTGCATGCGATCTTTGGTGTACCAGATAGCAAAGCCGTCTCCGTTCAGGTTTTTCTTGCCTTGCCCGTGGATTTTAAAATGCACCTGCATCTCCCAGTCCCGGAGGTAACACGGCTGCGAGAGAAGGAGCGAGGACGTGAAATTAGGGTGTCCCTCGTGCCAGCACCCGCCGCTTCCCTGCCCACGAGGGTCAGGGGCCGGCGGGGACGGACCACCGCAGCCGGCTGCGCCGTCCCCTGCCCATCGCAAGAACCGGCAGCTCCACGCGCCGCCAAACCGGAGAGCGCGCCGACGCTCCCCGTTTCCCTTGCCAACAGACCATGCTGTCCTATATTTTGGATGCGAGCAAGAATAATTAACCCCAAGGGACATCATTAAGCCGAGGGAATCGGTCGTTACCCAAAGCTATAAAAAAGCCAAGGAACCGATTCTGCTCTCGCGCTATTCTGAGGCGACAGCAGCTCCAGCAAAGTCAGTAACTCACACCCGGGAAAAAGAGGGCAGAAAAAGCCCGAGGAGCAGCTCCAGCTTCTTAATTGCTGACGAGCCAATTATTTCTTGAGCTACCACCAAATTCCCCGCGCTAACGGGCACACAACACGACGAGCTCGTAACAGATCCGCTCACGCAGCGTTGCGAAGCCGGCCGGTGGCTTCGCTGGGAAGCCACAACATTTCGTGGGAGCCGTAAACCCAAGCAGGGGAGAAAAAACCACAAAACCAAACCACCAAAGCTCCCTCAATATTTTAGAACAATAAAAGTTGAGCGTGACGGATCGCTTCTGGTCTCGTAAGGCGTTTTCCAAAGCACTGCGGAGGGGTGGGGCACAAAACCCCCCCACCGATTTCAACCCCAAATTGAAATTCAACGGGAATTATCAAGGTTTTAAAGGGAGCCTTGCCGTCTGCCGGGCAAAAGGCTCGCGGGGGCAGCAGAACACCTTAAGAGAAGGCAGCGCTGGCACACCACGTCGAGCTGCCAATTTACCGGCCCCGCTCCGAGATGTGGGCGCGGCAAAGGGGCAGCGGG